CATAGCTCGCAAAATTTTAGGCTAGCCTGGTGCGAAGCCGTGGAAAGTGGATGCTATAGGAGCATCCCTGATAGCATTACCTAGGCCCATTTGTTCCCTGTGCTGCGTCAATGCAGCGCTGGGCGGTATTCCGTGAGGGGATTTGGGGAACTTATTAACGGTTCGCGATTGGAGGCACACCTTATTGGTCTAATGCACTGCATCCAGCAGAAAAATTTGGACCTTGCGTAGCGCAAGGACTTTGCTATCAGGGATATCCTCCGATAGCAATTTTCTAGAGCAAAGCTAGAAGCAGTGTTACAGTGCGCTCTGATCCAACAAGGCCCCTCCTCGTTTGCCTGATTGGCGGAGGTTGCAAGCGTTTGCAAACTCCGTCAATCGCATTACAGAATACCTCTCAGCACTGCATGCAAGTTGCACGGGAGTGAATCCTCCAAGAAATTGCTACCGGCGATATCGAATACCAATTGTAGTTGGTATAGTGTAGATCAGGGCTACAATATGAGCTTAGACGTCAAAAGTTCAAGTCAATTTCAATTTAGCAACTTTGTATCAACTGTTTACTCTTGCGGGCTTACGTCTACCACAGTTTTCACGCAGAGGCATTACACTGTCACCCCTCTGTTGACATAATAGCAAAGCCTAGCAACTAAGAAACAACGGTAGTAAAAATGCAGCGTTGACTGAGACAGCAGCCACCTACTATATCAATCGCAGCTCGTTGGCAGAGACTTTGGAGTTAACCGCTGCCGGCAATGTTCCAGCAAAAGGTTATTGTGCTGGCTCATAAAGGTCAGCATTTGAACAGAAATTATCTGATTATTATTGAACATTCAAATTTCCTGTGAGAATAAAAATGTCAATTTCTTGAGCGAAACGAAATATACGCAGGTCATCACACCACTACCTCTACGATTGCCTACCGCAGGGATGAAGCGTTTTATGTGGACAATTATGGCTATCAATCAAACCGTTCAGATCACCCAAATTCAATTTCGCTTTACCGAAGGAGACTATCTTGTGTCATCTACCTTTTCAGTTTATGTGCCACGCAAACGCATTCTTTTTTACAGTGGTAATTTGTCAACAACTATATTCCCCTACTTCCTTTAAGCTAATAACGACAGACTCTCTATAACATTGAATCGTAGTCCTTAGAAACTTAAGCACCAAACCTCGCTTGACCATGCGTACACGTACCTCACGGAGCACTGCTCTCCTTACGCAGAATGCATAGATCATCCTTCTCGTTCGTTTCATCCTACAGTTTCGTGAACTGCAGTGTAGATATTAAGTGTGGTTTTCAGTTACCTCAGGTGTCATATCACTCTACTACGCAGGCCTCCCCACTGAAAGAAGAATTAAAATATTGTATGAATAAAAGTGTACATGTGGTGCTCCTCTAGGAATTCGTACGATGGAGAAAAAACTGCAGTTCTTTGATTTTTGGAAAAATTGGTTTGTGTATGTTG